CCAGCCAGCAGCGGCGCGCGGGAACATCAGGGCACGCGGCTGGACGAGACCTTTTCTGACATGCTCGCCCTACAGCGGCAAAGCATTGCGCTCCAAAAGAAGCAAGCGAGCCCGGATGGAGAGATCTTGCCCGATGCTGCGGACGACTGGCTCCCCAGCGGTGCTCCTCAGCCTGCTGCCGAGGACGCCCAACCAGAACTCGTTCCGCAGCTCTTGGCCATGCAGGGCCCGGCGGCTGTTGCGTGGAAGCTCGTCACTGATGCCCACTGCACGGAGGAGCAGATTGACGCGGTGGCGTTGTTTGCTTTGTCTCTGCAGAAACGTTTTGACGGCAGACCAGACAAGACAACGCATCTCCTCCCCGTGGCGTCCGCGACAGGCAACCACAGAGCGATCTGGCTCGGTGGAGGCGGTGTCGGCAAGACGCGCACCCTCTCCAAAGTGGTGGAGCCGATGGCCATCACTTACTTCGGCGAGCAGGGGTACCTCGGCAAAGCGCAGTCCAACCACGCCGCACACAACCTCGGCCCGCGCGGCAGGACCATGCATTCCTCCAATGGCCTGCTCATGTCGGATTCCATGCAGACAGCCAGGCTGCGCTTGACGCCACAGACGCAGAAAAAGCTGGATCGCCTCACAGGCACACTCGGCGTCGACGTGATCGATGAGCTGGGTGCTGTGCCGGGGCCTTTGCTGCATGCAGATGCACTGCGCACGACCTACGGCAGGGCGTTGCGCTACAACCTGGACCCCGCGAAGTACATGCGCCCGCAGGAGACGTGGGGACGCATGCCTGTGAAGATCTTGTGCGGGGACTTCTACCAGTTGCCGCCAGTCCCCGCCACCGCTTCCCTGCTGGCGCCTCACGCGGGCCAGTCCTACGAACGCCAACAGGGTAGGAAGTTGCTCGCCGACATCGAGTACGTCATCGATTTCGTGCAGATGCAGCGCTTTACAGACCCGTTGCAACTCGAGGTTCTCCACGCCATGAGAACTCCAGGCGGAAAAAAGATCTCTGACGAGAGCTGGCAGGCGATCGTCAAAACAGAGGTCGTTAGCTCTAGCGGTGCTGCTCAGCCTGCTGCCAGCAGCAGCGAAGCCGCTCAGCCACCTCAGTGGGGCCCTCGGTTGCGTGCAGCACGAGGCTGGTACGAGTCGGCCTATGAGTGGCGCATCGTCTCTTACGCCATGCATGCACAGGCCAAGCTTGATGCGCACGATGCTGGCCAGCTGCTCTTTTACGTCCCAGCAATCGACAGACCAGCTGCGCGCCTTGCGAAGCCTGATTTCGACGAGATGCGCGCGGAGCCCAACATCGGCGCCACCGCAAAAATGCCGGGGCTGCTGCCGCTCTTCGTTGGCATGGAGGTCATCCTGACAGAATCCGTCTTGCCGCCGAAGTATGTCCGTGGCGCGCCAGGCAAAGTGGTAGGCATAGAGCTGCACGCTCTGGAGCCTCCGGTGGAGGGCCGCCCGTCCATTGTCTCGGACGGTGTGGTCGTACTCTACTACATGCCAAAGGCCGTCTATGTCAAGATCGATGACAGCGATGAACTTTTCTTGAAGGCCGCGCCGGTGACAGCTGGCAGTGCTTCTCAGCCTGCCGGCCCCGACCTGCGCGGAGTGCTCGCGATCACCCCGCAGGCGCGCCCCTGGAAGTTCAAAGCGAAGACAGGTGGCCCGGCCATCGCGGTGTCCAGGACGCAGTTGACCGTGCTGCCCAAAAAGCAGGGGACTCTGCATGGCGTCCAGGGCAAGACGACGGACCCAGGCTTCATCGTGCACTGGACGTTTCCGCCAGGACTCAAGAAGGAGTCCATTTGGCTTGCCTACTACGTCAGCCTGTCGCGCCCCAGAAGCTTCAACCAACTCTTGAGCCACGGCTTGCCTGACCGGAGCATCATCGAATCCGGCCCCCCGGAACAGATCGCCAAGGCCTTCGCCGAGCTCTTCACGGACAAGATTGCCGCGACGAAGATCGCTTGCGCGAAGGCCCGACAGCAACTGGGATGGCCTGCGCGAGCTTGAGGAGCCATGAGATGCAGGTTGCGTTGTGGCGGTGCTGTTCAGTCTGTCCGTCTGCATTCGCGTGGTGCTTCTCAGCCTGCATGCGCGTGGTGCTTCTCAGCCTGCGCTCGTGTGCAGCTGTGCGCGGTGAGCCTGCACGTGTCGCGGAATGCTTTTCAGCCTGCGCGTGTCTGCAATGCTTTTCAGCCTGCACGCTTTGCAGCTTCTCCGCTTCGCACGCCGCTCCTCAGCGCGGTCCTCTGAAAAAAGGACAGTCATCATCTCATCGTCGCACTCATCATCGCACTCATCATCATCATGCATTGCCAGCGTTGATAGCAGTGTCTCGTTTTTACACGACTCCCACTGTTGATCGCAATGTCTCGTTTTGACACACTTCCAGCGTTGATAGCAGTGTCTCCTTTTTACACGACTCCCACCATTCACAGCAAAGTTTCGTTTTGACACACTGCGAGCGTTGATAGCAGTATCTCCTTTTTTACACGATTGCCACCATTGATAGCAGTGTCTCGTTTTGACACATTTCCAGCGTTGATAGCAGTGTCTCTTTTTTACAGGACTCCGAACTACAACTACTACTTCACTGTTACCACTGTTTCATCTTTCCTGCTCTTATTGCTAATACTACTGCGACTGTTACTGTTGCTGCATGCCTCCAGCTATGCTTCGACATATCGCTGTTAGGTTGCTTTGCCGGGATACTTTTTAATTTGGGCGCTGTTCCCCGACTTCGGCCTCCCCAGACCCCCCCGGGTCAAGAAAAATCACGACAGGAGGTTGTTGCTTTTTGTTGTCCCCCGGGGCCCCTACCGCTCAGGATGAAAAGCCGGTCCCGGGGAATGGATTGAGTTTTTTGGGGGATCGACAGTATGAGCACATCATGAAGTCGGGGGTCTGGGTCTACAGTCCATACGCTGAAACAAGGAGCGGTCTCGGCTCACGGGGGGCTCTGTTTTTCCGGCCGCTCCTCGGATCTAGGTCGAGGAACTTGTCAGTGGCCTGGGCTCGCCGTGGCCAGAAGAGCCCATTCGTACCTCACCCGGCCTCCCTTGCTGCAGCTCGGATCCCGTCCTCATGCCGTGGACGAGAGAGAGAGAGAGAGAGCCGGACCCGGGACGCAAGCGTGCCCCCAGGGGAGGGGTCGAGATTTCCGAGGTCCGAGCACAGTATCTGACTACCACCACCAAGATCGGGAATAATATACGATGCGATTTGGTGCAGTTTTTGCTCAGGTGAAAAGCTCGCAGTCCCCCCCCGCCAACGGCAACCGGGCTGCCCCCTCTCTCTCTTAAGGACCGAAACAGAATTCATCAAAGCACGCGCGGTGGTGGTGTATATAATTTTGGTTACCAAGGGGAGCGATTTTTATACACCACCACCAAGAAGTGCTGTTTCTGCTTCAGGAACTCCCCATGCCACGGCGCCTGCGAGCTGCGCCGCGCTCCTTTTCGCCGTGGCGTCGCAGCGTCGTCTGGCATGACCCTGCCCCTAACCCTTTTTGCGGAAAATGATTGTTGCGGGCGGTGGTGGTGTATACAAATTGGCCTCGCACGAGGGTCGCCCGGGCCGAACCTCGGGCGGGCGGCAGCCGCAAGTCGACGGGGACGGCGGACAACGGCGACGGCGGACGGGGGTGGGCGAGGGTTGCAGGAGAGTCTCGAGGGGCCTGCGGGCCCAACGGGGTGAACGACCGGGGCACGGTTCTCCCTTCCCCGTCTGTTGCTTCCCCCCTCCGTCCACGAACATCCGAGACGACCCGCGAGGGGGCGGGGCCTCAGGTCGGAGGGGGGTGGAGGGGAGAGCGGCGGTATCCGGGGCTCCGAGGCGGGCGGAGAGGCATTGGCACTGGGCATCAGGGGCTTTCGAGTCGTGGCAAAAGTCGCGGCCTCTGGGGGCCCTTGGGGGCCCTGGGGCCCTTGCTGGGGGCCCGCTGGGCTCTTGCTGGGCCTCTGGCGACAGTTTGCGGCCTCTGGGGGCCCTTGCTGGGCCGCGGGGCCGTCACGAGACGTCCGAGGGTGGCATCCAACGGGGGCGAGCACCTCGAAGGACAAAAATGGCGCCAAAGCATCGGCTTTCAGAGCCCCGCTCGGATCTCTTGGATCGCCGCCGCCTGGGGGCGTGTATCTTTTCGCGGTCGGGGACCATCGCCGAGTTCTCGGCGATGTATTGCCAACTCCGCCACGAGGGAGGGTTTTGAGGGCTGCTTGGTGAAAGCATGACAGATCCCAATTTATTCTGGGTGTCCTCCCACTACATCCACCGCAGGGGCGTCCTTCTGATCTTCTGCTTTGGGCTGCAACCCGAGCTACGTCAGCCGCCCTCCTTCATGCTTCTACAGACAAATGTATTTCGATCGGCATGGGATCATAACCATGTGGTCTGATTCGGAGCCCGCATGTGCCAAACGGCGTTTCACATTAGAACCAACCAGTCCCCACATGGTTCTCTGAGCGGCGCGTGCGACGTCTCTTGCCTGCTCTCGCGCTGCTCTATGGTAGCCCCATTCAATCCAACGGGTGTGCCCCCCGACTTCTTCGCTGTTCCGTCTCCCGAGGTGGCCCTGGGAAGATGGCCATCCGTCCTGACATGAATCCTTGCATGAATCGACAGAGGTGCCCGCGGGGAGGCAGGGATCGACGCCTCTGCATGATCGGCACTGGAGGGCAGGCAGGCAAGTGACCAATACGTGGAAGGCCTTCTCCTGATCCTCCGCCTCCGCAGTCCGCTCGTCGATGACGATCGCAGGCCCTCGACGCGAAGTGACATGCTGACACTGAGAGGCTTGGCAAGCGAAGCGAAGGCTCGAGTCGTCGACTCAGCGGAGCACCAAGGCTGGTTCGTTTATTCGCTCCCCCTCACACTCCTAGCCGCTCACATCTCGTCCGCTGCGCCTTGATGGAGCCGCAGCGCTGCTCGGTGCAGGGAACTGGCCTCCGATCGTTCTGCGCAGAGCGCCCCCCCCCCCCCCCCAGGAGGCGCTGGCCGAGTGGACTCCGAGCTCTGATGCCGGCGTGCTCCAGGGGGGAATGAGGACGAGGAGAAGGAGAAGGAGGACGAGGAAGAGGAGGAGGAGGAGGAATAGGAGGAGGAGGAGGTGCAGGAGGAGGAGGAGGACGAGGAGGAGGAGGAGGCGGAGGAGAAGGAGAAGGGGACGGAGGACCCTGTACCCTGTGGACCTATGGATCGCGCGGGAGGAGGAGGGGCAGAAGGACGGCAGGAGGACGGCAGGGCAAGAGGAAGAAGGCGGTAAGGACAAGGAAAGGGCTTAGGAGAGTAGAGGAGAAACTGGAAGGAGAAGGAGGATGAGAAGGTGAAGGAGGGTGAGGAGGGGTGCGATAGGGGGAGATGGAGCCATTTTCTCTGTCCAACTGGTGGGAGGGAAATGCGGAGGAGGATTCGGAGAAGGTGAGAGGAGAAGGGAGAAGAGATCGGAGGAGAAGGATGATGTCCTCCACCTCTACTCCTCGACATCCTCCAGGATTTCCTGGTGATCCTCCTTTTCTGCCTATATCCTCATCGGATTCCCCGCTTCTCGACTGCATGGGCACTAGACCAGCATGAGTAGAGCGTAATGGGTGGAGAGGGAGGAACAGATGGAGGAGGATGAAGAGGAGGAGGAGGAGGACGAGGAGGAGGAGGAGGACGAGGAGGAGGAGGACGAGGGAGTCGTAAAAGTGAGGATCAGGAAGTCGGAGCAGGAGGAATGAAGTTACGGGGAGAGGAGGAGGAGGAGAAGGAGGAGGATGAGGAGGAGGAGGAGGAGGAGGAGGCGGAAGCGGAGGAGGAGGAGGAAGGACGCGGCCGTAGGGTGATGGCAGAGGAGTCGCATCTGCTGTTCAGGACGTTTGCGCCTGATCGTTCCCACGCCGGCTCAGAGGTCCAGACAGCTCGCATGCGGGGCCCGCCGCTTGCTTTTCTCCATCTGCTCTTGCTGGCTCGGCAGCCGGAGGCGCCTCGCTTGGTGCTGCCGATGGCCCTCTTCCTCCTCGACCGACGGGGGCGCTGGGATGGCCAACATATGCCCGCAGAGGGCAGCGGCCGAGCGCCAGTGCCAACCGCCGCCCGGGCGACTCGCGGGCCCGTGTTGCCACGCGCCCTGCGGTGCCCATGGGGCCCGCGCTTGCTCACATCCGGGAACAACCCATGACTTAGACATACAGTCGGGAACTTTGTCTCAGCGGGTCTCTCCGCCGATTCTGGCCCACGACACCTCGGCGCGACACGCTATCCATTTCGCGGTCCCGAGTCGGCAACGTCCCGCGCCCTTCCGAGCCTCCCGCCGGAGAGGAGAGACACGCTAGTAGCTCGCAGGGCATAGCGGCAGAGTGTGTCGCTGGGGCCGCCGTGGCGACACGCTAAGCAGAACCTCCGACCGTAAGCATGAACATTGAAGGTCCCCGCGGATTTCTCGGATCGGCGATAGAGCCCTCTGGTGGCACCACAGACGCCGCCCCTGACACGCGCGCCGCGCGTCAGGGAGGAAGGTCCAGCGCCGATCCAAGACATCAGCGCGGATTTTTGAAAACTTATGTTTACCGATAGGATCACCCGACGGGTGATAAGGAGGTTGGGGGGGGGAATGGGGGAGGCGGCACATTTGCGATGGCTCTGGGTTCGCTGGTGGTTTCTTCAATTTCCCGATTGTCGCGCATATCTGCCCATCTATCGATCGACATGTCTATCTAAGTACCGCTTATGGGTGCAATTCTTTATATATATATATGTATATAAATATGTATGTATGTATCGATATAACTGTTTGCATGTATACCTATATATACATGTTTGCATATATGTATACATATACATATATGTATCAGTCTGTCTGTGTATAGATATACATACATATGAATGTCTATATGTCGATGTATATAGACATATATCGATACATGTATGTGATTCGGCCTGTGACTATATCTCTATAAGTTTACGTACATATACATATGCATGTGTTCTTATATCTATATATACACAATACATTGATGTGTACACGCGTGTATATAAACATATATATATCGATTTAACTATATCGATCACCCGATATGGCCGTATATAATTTGATACAACTATATACGTGTATAGACGTATATATATATAGATATATATATATATATATATATATATATCAATCGACCGATCGATCTATCAACCATCGGGACAACCATCGGGACAACCATCGGGACAACCACAACCATCGGGACAACCGCAGGAACAACCACCGGGACAACCGGGGGCCACGCCCAGCGCTCGGGGGACAGCCCTTTTGGCAGTAGATGGCCTCTGCTATCGATGGAACTCGCGCAGCTTCGCCTCGCCCGCACGCACGACACGAAGCCGAAACCGAAACCGAATGCCCCGTTGGGCTCCCTTCCGTTCCAACCCCCCAACCTCCGATGCCATGATGTGCTCCTCGGTCCCAAGCCCTGGAGTGCTCGCAAGGCGCGGCGTGCCCGCGGGGCCCATGGTGCTCACGTGCCCCGCGGCGCTCGCACGGGGCCCGCGGTCCTCGCAGGCCCCGCGGTGGCCCACGCGGGGGGCTCGGCGTGGCTCCCGGCGGCTCGCGTCAGCTCTGGCCGCCTATTGCGCAGCTCCTCTGCGGCCCGCCTGCGGGACCCGTGCGGCTCGGGCGGCCTTCGCGCGGCCCCCGCGGGAGGGGGGCGCGGCTCATGCCGCCCACGCGGTAGGTTTTGCTCCTGGGGCCCACGTGGCCCATGCAGCTCGTGCCTCCCCGAGGAGGCCGGAGTCCGCTTGTGCAGGTGCCGCTCGTGCCACCGTGCTCTCATCACTTACGCAAGGGGTACAGGGGCGCAGCGACAAGGGCGGCACCCGCACGCGGACTGCGATTAGCCTGTCGGTCTGTCCACGTTGTCTGGGTTTCCGGCCAAAAGGCGACACGCGGAAAGTTTTGCCAACGCAAAGACTGTGTATTAGTTTCGGCCACGCCGTCCCGTACCGGCCGCACCAGTAGTTGGGCCCGCCCAGTTGTAGTCCCATGTTCCAACTGACGCTTTGGCCCGCGGTGTCGCTGCTGCGAACAGCGTTCTGAAGAGGCCCTGCAGGTTTTCACTCATGCACCGCGGGTTTGGAAGTGACCCTGGGTCCCCCTTGTGTTTCGGCGTTGATGCGTCCCCTGGCTGCGTGGGAGCCCGTTAGTGACGTGGAGGATAAGCTACGTGTTGTCGCGATGTTGTCAAGAGTGCAGCCAGGCAGTACGCCCCAGCATTGGGGAGGGGAAGGCGGAGGAGAGCCAGGGAAGGGGGAGCGAGGCTCAGGAGGGAGAAGGCGGGACAAGGAGCAGGGGGGAGTAGACGGAGGGAGGGTGATGAGAGTGAGGGGGGATGGTCAAATGGGGGAGGAGAAGGCAGACGAGGAGGGAAAACTAGGGAACGAGGGTCGAGGAGAAGGAGGAAGAGAGGAGTAGCTCTGGGGCTCTCGTGGCGTTCCTGCTACTTTAGCTCGCCGCCCGATGCAATGCGTGCGCCTTCTGTGGGAAACGATTTTGCCTCGATTGCAGGGCCACATAGGAGGTGCGTGGGACCTGCGCGCGCATGCTGGAGGCAGGGTGCGCGGGATTGGTACTGCGTAGTCCCCTCGATTTGCCCAGCGTCTTCGCTTGCATGGAGCAGGTGGTTATCGTAATGTCTCCATGCGTCCGGGCAGGTACAGTCATGGCTTACCCGACGCGTCCAGACTGGCAAGGCAGCTTACGTCTGTGCGAAAAGACTGCACATGCAGGATGAGGCGTGAGCAAATGCATGCCGGAATGGGTCTGCGCGAATGAAGGGCGCGAGTATTGCAAGCTCGTGAGGTAGGCACTCGTCCAGCAGATCTTGCAGTAGGGAGTCATGGAATGAGCCGTCCTGCGGGGCAGAAGTTTGGGGTGTTGTCGGCAGCTCTCCCCAGTTTTCCCTGGGGCCGTATCGTTGGACTCTGTCGTTGTGGTCTCCGCCAGGGGGCCCTTGCAGGACGACGCCAATCAGACGCCCCCCCCCCTCGAGGTGAATGCTCGAGGACCGAGGCTGAGGTTGGAGCTTCGAGGTGAAGGCTCGAGGATCGAGATCGAGGTCGAGGACCGCTCACCCTTGCGCGTGCGACAACCGGGGCTGGAAACGACCGCCAATGGCTTCAAATCGCAACCGCACATCTTAAGGTAACCTTTGTCCTCCTGGCTCAGTGGGCGCACGCGGGGGGCGCGAAGGTAGCTCTTGCGGGCCCTATCGAGCACGGGCTCTAGAATCCATTGGGCATCGCAGCGGGGACTGTAGCGGGCACGGGCACGGAGGCGCGTAGGGCGCGAAGAAAGCGATGCGTCGTGGGGAGCAAGCGGTCGCCAAAACGAATGCGCGCAAAACCGTGATGATTCAGCTTCATGCTCTGAGTGAGGCGATCATGGGTACTTAGTGTGGGAATGGGCTTCGCGGGGGAGGGCGCGGAGGATATTGTAGGCAGGGGCCTGGAGGAATGGATTGGGGGGTCGTGACATATGATCGGGGTAGCGTTGTGGAAATTGGAAGGGGCCACAGGGACTTCGATCTTAGGAATGCAAGCGTCGAAGGGGATGGGCGTAGTAGTAGTAGTAGTAGTAGTAGTAGTAGTAGTAGTTGTGGTAGTAGTAGTAGTAGTAGTAGTAGTAGTAGTAGTAGTAGTAGTAGAACTAGTAGTAGTAGTAGTCGTAGTAGTAGTAGTAGTAGTAGTAGTAGTAGTAGTAGTAGTAGTAGTAGTCGTAGTCGTAGTCGTAGTCGTAGTCGTAGTCGTAGTCGTAGTCGCAGTCCTAGTCGTAGTCGTAGTCGTAGTCGTACCCGTAGTAGTCGTAGGAGGTAGTAGGTAGTAGGTAGTAGGTAGTAGGTAGCAGGTAGCAAGTAGCAGGTAGCAGGTAGCAGGCAGCAGTCAGCAGGTAGCAGGTAGTAGGTAGTAGGTTGGTAGTAGGTAGTAGGTGGTAGGAGGTCGCTAGGTCGGTAGGTCGGTCGGTCGGTAGGTCGGTGAATCGGTAGAGGCAGGAAGAGA